GGATCTCGGATTAGTGCCACTGCTGGTTACGTGTATGCGCTACGGCCTACCACGGATTTGTGGACTCGTACGCTTCTTCGGCGCACACAAATCATTTATACTCCCGATGCTGCGTTGATTGTTATGCTACTGGATGTTAAGCCTGGCTCGGTGTGTCTTTTGCATTCATGCGCTATTTTTAAACCTTTGCATCGGATGGTACCTGTTACTATAGTAGTAGTATTTCATTTTAGGTTGTTTGTGAGTGTGGCACGGGAAGCGGATCTCTTTCACATGCTCTAGCAATGGCGATTGCTCCAACAGGGCATCTGTACACGCACGATATAGAAGAACCACGAGTGAAGCAAGTCGAGCTTGAACTAAAGGTCTTTCTCATATATCATTTTTAAAAAAATTTTTTTTTTTTGCTACATCTGCATTTCCGTACACATTGTGTTTTGTTGCTGAATAATTGTAAATGTATTCAATGATAATATGAATCTGTGTGTTTATCAGTGATTGTCATTTCAGTGAAAACAATTAAAAATTTTGTAGAAGCATGGCTTAGGCGATGTGACGACGTGCGTGCATCAGAATGTCCTCGAAGATGGATTTTTCGTCGAAAATGCATGTGACGCAGTTTTTCTGGATCTCCCTGCACCGTGGATAGCAATTGCGCATGCAAAACGTGCCCTCAGTCGAGTGCGCGGGGGACGCCTTGTCAGCTTCTCTCCTTGCATCGAGCAGGTTCGATGGAATTTTTTCGTATTCCTTGGGAAGACTGACATCATTATAAAGTTGTTGTCTTTCGGCACTCACGTAATGATATGTTGTAATTCAGGTGCAAAGGGCGTGCAGTGCGCTTCGATGCGAAGGTTTCATGCAAATCAATACTGTGGAATTGGTGCCAAGAAAACTGAATGTAACTATTTTTTTGATTCAAATTAAGGTTACATTTCAAGATATCTACTGGTCTGTCCGGGTGTTTCGGAAGGTTGGTTTTTGAAATTACCTGGACAGCCTACTCTGTTTGTGTTGAAATGCTGGCTTGCTGATAAGGTCAAATTGGTTTTTGCTCTGCTCTGTATGTTCGGGTTGATCTTTGGCTTTCCCAACAAGATGTAGTTTAGTCGACCGCGAATAATGTGATTCAGTTTTGTCACTTCACCAACAACT